AGCAATGTGACTTTGGGTAGGTCATTTCATCTCTGAACCTCAGCCTGGGGAATCCGTGAAGTGGGATGTTGTAAGGAATGAAATCAATGTAAGTAATATGCCCAGTTCAATGCCAGGAACATCAAAGAGGCAAAATAAATGGTAGCTGTTACTAATTTCTCTCCAGGGGAGAATCCCATCTGTGGCTTGTTTGATGAAAGAGCCAGCACCTGCTTGAACAGCCCAAGGGATGGGGAACTCACCCCCTCCAGGGGGTGACTCTGCCTGGAAAACCTCCTTCCCAGACACAGTTGAGACTTGTCCCAGTTCTGTCTCTTGAGCCACACAGTGCATGTGGCTCTGCGGCATTTTCCCCAGAGAATCTCAAGAGAGCTTATTGGTTCCGCATTGCAGGAGGAGGCTCTGGAAGTTCCCAGCCTTGTTCAGATGGGTTCATTTTTCCCCTTGTCCTGTAAAGGTTGCATCCTCCTGAGTCTGCTTTTTTTTTTTTTTTAGGGTGAACCCTCCCTTTGAACATTTCTCAGGGGAGAACTGGGTTCTGGCCTCAAATTCATTATATCAGGGCAAGTCACCTAAGTTCAGCTCTGTATCTGTAAAAATGAAGAAAGTAATACCACCGCATGGGGTTATAGTGAAGATTAGCTTGAAAAAGCAATGTGAAAGTTTAGGGTTTGGAAAAGGCACTTGATAACTATTAATTTTTTATTTTGTTTATTTATTTGTTTTTGGAGAGGTTTATTGCTATAGTGCACGTGCACTCTCCAGAAAGAGAGAGGCAGAGAGACAGAGAGACTGAAAGCAAGAAATCACGCCACCTCCCCCCCGCCCCCAGAGGGGATGGCCACACCACAATCTCTTCTCCTCACACCACACCACACCACAATCTCTTCTCCTCTGCTCTCCTCTCGGGATCTTGGGCACGCACACACACAGGCCGGCGTGAGTTTAAGCCACTGGGACCAGGACTCAAACCACGGTCAACTACGTGGGAGTTCAGCAACTTAGCCATTACGCCAACTGCTGGTCCCAATTTTTTTTTTTTTTTTTAATCACACTTTTAGGCTGGGTCTTTGGTCTGGTGGTTAAAGGAGCTAGATTCCAGATGGCTGACTGTGTGGTTCTAATCCTGGTCCTGTTGACTTGAGAAACATGCCCAACATGGGTGCGTGTGTGCCTGCCCCAAATTCCAGACAGGGTAATAAATGGAGGACAAGGGATTGCAGCTTGACCATGCTCCACTGGGGAGTGGCTTCTTCCTCTTCTCACTCTGTCTCTATGTTTGGCAAGTGCACTTATCCTCAGGCATATTAAAAAAAATTCACAGTTTTGAAAAAGTAGTTAGCAGGTAAGCCCATCTAGTATTGCCCTTAGCTCTTTATAACACTGCCAAAGGCAATAATTCCAGAAAGTCAATGTCATTTTTTTTTAAGAGGTTTTTGCTATAGGGCATGTGCACTCTCCAGACAGAGACAGAGAGACAGAAAGCGAGAGATCATTCCAAGAGGGGACAGCCATGCCACAATCCCCTCTCCTCCATTCTCCTCTTGGGATCTTGGGCATGAATGCACACGCGCCCAGCATGAGTTTTAAGCCACCGAGTCTGGGACGCAAACCACGGTCGACTACGTGGGAGTCCAGCGACATAGCCATTATGCTAACTGCTGGTCCCAATGTCACTCTTGACTTCAGAAAGTTGACAAGTCAGGTAAAAAATTCCCTCCTAAATGCATAAAATAAAGCCTCGGGGTCTGGTTTTGTCTGTGAAAAGCCAGCAAATTTTAGGCTCCTTCTTACTATATTCTGCAGATGGGCACCAAGGCTGAATCCCCATATTCAGCATCTTTATACTCGCAGCTCTCATATCCCAAGAAGGGAAATGATGGAAGTATAGCCTCCAGGCCAGACCAGTCCTCTGGGACAAGGATTTAGCTAATGTTTGTTAAGCACCTGGCAAGCACCTGGGCAAACACTGTTGCCCTCCCGCCTCTCCCACCATTTATAGAGTGGCTGGTCTGGAACTTGGCCTTGGGGAGGGCCTAAGCTGCTTCTTGCTCAGCCCTATATTCTCAGAGGCGAGCACAAGCCTGGGCACCTTCACAGATACCTGAGTATGTATAAATTTGCTATAGGGTTCATGTACTTACCGAGGAGTGGGGGTAGAGACAGAGAGAAAATGACAAAGCACTCCCCACAAGGATGACCACACCTCAATCCCTTTCCTCCATTCTCCTCTCAGGATTTTGGGCATGTGTGCACACGTGCCCAGTGTGTTTTCAAGCCTCCAAGTCTGGGACTTGAACCTCATAGTCAGCTATGTGGGATCCAGCCATCTTAACCATCATGCCAGCCGGCTGGCCCCACAAATAATTTTGAATGAATTAGAACTCATCGAACATTTATTGATTGCTGATTACCTGCTAAGCCTTGTGGTAGTAGAAATTATTGTTAAAATATAACAAATTTTTGCTGTAAGGTGTGTATGCTCACTGGGGAGAGAAAGACAGGAAGAGAGATAGAGAGAGAGAAAGAAAGTGAGAAAGTATTCTTCCCTGGGGACATGACCATGCTCCAATCCCTAGTTCTCTATTTTCCTCTTGAAATTTTGGGTACACATTCACACGTGTCAGTCATGTTTTTCAAGCCTGCAGGTCGGGGACTTGAACTGTGCAGTCAGCCATGTGAGATCCAGCTAACTATGCTGTGAACTGGCCTATCTTTTCTCTTTCTTTTTCTTTTTAAATTTGCCAAGAGGTACATGGGATCATCAGAGAAAGACAAAGAGAGGGGGAGAAAAGTGTCCCCACTGGGGCAGGCCACTTGGCAATCCCTTCTCCTCCATTACTATATCCCGTTGGGATTTGGGGCATGCATGCACATGTGCTCGGTGTGTTTTTCAAGCTGTTGGGGACGGAATGTGAACAATGCAGTTGGCCATGTGTGACCTGGCTCCCTTATCCATCGGACCTTGGGGGCCACCTAATACATTCTATTTACTACAACTAGCCCTGAGACTGGTATCATACCCTCATTATTTATTTTTTTTTGGAGAGATTTTTGTTATAGGGCGCGTGCATTCACCAGACAGACAGAGAGAGACAGAGAAACAGAAAGCGAGAAATCATCCCCCCAGGGGGGGTGGCCACGCTGCAACCCCTTCTCCTCCGTTCTCCGGTCAGGATCTTGGGCATGCACGCACATGCGCCTGGCATGAGTTTAAGCCACCGGGTCCAGGACTCGAACTGTGGTCGACTACGTGGGAGCCCAGTGACATAGCCATTACGCTAACTGATGGTCCACTTTATGAGTGAGGAAGCAGGCTGAAGCCGACTAGTGTAAGGCTTCACAGTGAACTGGTGGAGCTGGGCCTCTAGCTGCTATCCCCCCCTTCACTGTCAGGGCTCCTGGCCTCAATCCACCTGTTCACTTTCCTGTGCTAATTGAGGACTCTGGTGATGTCTGAATGGCTAGAGTTGCCTCCTAGTTCATACATGGCTCTAGATTAATCTGACTGGAGCAGAGTTCTGACCCCATCCCTTTCCTGCACAAGAATCTAGGCTAACTCAATGTAAACAACCTGAGTGCAAGGTCTACCTTTCCAATTCTGGCCATGTGGTCTTCTGACAAACTACTGAGGTTCTAGGGCCTCACTTCCTCTTTTGCCTGACTATACTTCTGAGAACAGCATCTGGAATCCTAACTTCGGAAAAACTGCAGACAATCCAGTTGACCCTCCAAGTTCTGTGACTCAAAGCAATTACCTGAGCCTGGGGAAGAGATGTTTTCAGTCTTCCAAGGACCCTACCTGCAGGCAGTCCGGGCAGAGTGGGAAGGCTTGGGGAGATACCCTCCAAATCAATGGCAGGTGAGGGAGCCAGAGCTCATCCAGTCAGTCCGGGGCAGGCAGAGTAGACTGGCAACCAGGGGTCCTGACGACCAGAGGAGGGCTTCCTCCATACCCCTGTTGCTGTCTCATCTCTACTCTTCACGGCTACATTTGCATTTGTGTCTTTATAACCCACAGAGCCCTTCCTGACCCAGAGATTCTGGTCCTTCATGAAGCCTCTATCCTCCATGGGAAGCAGCCTCCCCATCTGTGAAATGAAGACCTTGGCCTTCAAGACTTCTCAGCCACCTTCCAGCAGAGCCCTGATCTCTGACTTGAATGCCCTGTGGCAGAGGGCCGTTTTTCCTTTGCAAGGCAACTGCCACCCCGCCCAGCGCAAACGCAACGGCCTGGCACCTGCGGTCAGCCACAAAAAAACTTGTCATTGCTAAGCCCCCTTCGTGTGCCTCTAGCGGGCTGGGAGAGGGGAGTTGGGAGGCCGACAGGAAGCAAAAAAAAAGGGAACTCTCCTACAGCCACCAGGCATATAGTGTCCCCTTCCCCACATTGCAAATGTTTCATTGTGAGCGTGGACCCCCACCCCTATATGCACTCCCAAATGCTGCAGCCGCAAAACCAGCAGGAGGCGGGGGCGGCCCGTGCGCGTGCGTCGGCGCAGAGCCCTCTCCCGCCCACGTGCGCGCCCCCGCCAAAAAAAAAGGGAACTCTCCTACAGCCACCAGGCATATAGTGTCCCCTTCCCCACATTGCAAATGTTTCATTGTGAGCGTGGACCCCCACCCCTATATGCACTCCCAAATGCTGCAGCCGCAAAACCAGCAGGAGGCGGGGGCGGCCCGTGCGCGTGCGTCGGCGCAGAGCCCTCTCCCGCCCACGTGCGCGCCCCCGCTGGAGGCGCGCGCCGCGGCGGGCTGGCGGGAAAGCGCGCGGGAAGCCC